CTCTGAGCACCTGGTCTCAATAGGAGCCCAGAAGCAGTTGTCACAATGGAAACTCCCCAAATGTGAAGCCTGCAGGGGATCACCCAAATTTTCCACACCCCAAAGATGACTCGGGTTACATACTTCTGAGCATCATAGTAAGCTCTTGACTGGGATGAGCCTACAGATTTCCATTTGTGGCTTTACTGTCTTCACGACCGAATTAAACCCCCAAAGCACCATGACTCGCCACTGTGCAATGTTTATTCCCACACCAGAAATCCCTCAGAGCCATTTCCCACTGAGCACTACAGAAGCACGCAAGTGTTTCCTCAGTGCTGCTGTGGCTTGAGAAAGGATAAGCAACCAAGCACCTGTAATGAGCACTGATGAAGCATTCACCAAAAGGCATAGAAGTATTTGCTGCCTGTGCAGGGCAGTGTTAGGCCCTTAGTAGTTACAAAACGAGAATAGAAACCAAAAAATGATACCAGCAATGATATTCGTATAGTGTCACGTAATTTACAATCACTCTCCTTCATTTTAGCCTCAAAAACTTTGTAGGTGGAAAATACATTATGTCTTCATTTTACAAATGAGCAAACTGAGTTTCACATAGTGGTGTGCTGGCAAATGTTTAACAACCAACTCACGGGGGGGAGCCCGGATGGATAGAGTTTGCCCATTTCCGTGGTGCAAACATTCCCACCGTGGCCTTTTGCAAGACACCAACATGTTGCTGAATGCAGAATTGAGGAAGAGATGTGCCCAATCACTTGGTCCTGGAGAGCCTGTACCAGCTGGCTCCAGCACACCTGTGGCTCCAGACCAAGGAAATGACAGGCCCAAGGTCACACAGAGATGACAACTGAACCAGCCTTCCTTTCTCTTTATTAGAGAGCAAAGCAGTAACTGATCCTCCAAAAACTTTTATTTAAGAAAACAACAAAAATGTAAGGGCATCTTGCAAAGCTGGGCAAAAGGAGGTAATCAGGGGACCCCAACTTGGTGAAAGTGATCCCC